CCTGCTCTGTTAATAGCCTTCTAGAATGGACAGGATCATCCTCTGTGTGTGATTAAAGTTCAATTTGCAGAGCAGGTAATATGTATTTCTAAAGTAACTTAAAGGGACACTATAGGGACACTGAGGGTTTAAGCCATCCAATCAGAGTGCTCTGACAGGTAAATGAAGAAACTGACAGGTAAGTCTCTACATTTATCTGTCACAGCACTCTGATTGGTTGGTTTGAAATCCACCAATCAGAGTGCTCTGTGTCATTTTACACAGCCTGTGTCAGTCTCTACTGGATTTCAAACCAACCAATCAGAGTGCTGTGACAGGTAAATGTATAGACTTACCTGCCAGTCCCTTCATTTACCAGTCCCAGAGTGCTCTGAGCCTAATTGCAGGGCTGGGCAAGGTTTATAAGCCTTCCCCCGCCCTGCAGAGCTCAGTCTGCGCGGAGCCCTCCATGGGTGAAGATGGATTATTTTTTTTGCGCTCAGGTATTTTTTGCGTCGGTTATTGTGAAACCCCCCCCCCGTTTTATGGACTTAGTTTGACTGTTTTGTTCTCCCCCCCTCTTAGAACACCAGTTTAAACCCTTAATAACTGTCATATATACAAACTCTGTCTGACCCTTTTTACTGTCATTTTGTTTTCCTCTGAGCAGGAGTGTTTTTACTGCATGAATACTGTTGCTGTGAGTGCCATTAAACGGATCTCTACCCAGCATTAAGCCTCGGCTCATGTGTGGAGGGTTATGCTATGCTTGTGTCTATACTCTGCCTGGAAGGATTATTCACTAACTACAGGAAGAAAGGGAACCCAAGACGGTCAGAGAGGGTTAGACTGTCACAGTTATTATGGATTTTTATTTGGCCTTTTTGGGGGCTGAAAAAATAAGATTTTAGGTGACTAGGGGTTTGGGGACCCCTAGTCACCTGGGGGGTATATTTTTATTAAGGTCCCCCCCTTATTCTAATTTAGGGCCCCCACCCACCGCTCAGGGGTGGGGGCCTGGGGGGAAGTAATTTGATGTAATTTAGGGCCCCCACCCACCACTTAGGGATGGGGCCAGGGGGAGGACAATAGGTCCCCCCCTTTTTTACTTTAGGGCCCCCACCCGACGCTCAGGGGTGGGGACCTGGGGGGAGGACAATAGGTCCCCCCTTTTTTTTACTTTAGGGCCCCCACCCGCCACTCAAGGTTGGGGGCCGGGGGGAGGACAATAGGTCCCCCACCTGTTTTTCTGATTTAGGGCCCCACCCGCCGCTTAGGGGAGGGGGCCAGGGAGGAGCAATAGGTCCCCCCTGTTAAAAAGCCCCCACTAGCGCGGCACGCATAGGGGCTCAGGAGGGGGGTTACTGTTTAATAGACATGCCCCTTCTCGCGGTGTAGCGAGTAGGGGCAAAATTTACAAATACTAAGTAATTTTTACTTAGTATTAGTAAATTTGGCTGAAAGACCAATTTAGGTCTTTCAACATTTTGGTAGATAACTCCCTAATACCGTGGGAATTAGGAAGTTATCTACTAAGCGGCTGCAAGAAATGTCCCGAAGTGCCAAAGTCCCAAAGTTCAGAAAAGCCGAAGTTCCGAAATTCCGAAGTGCCGAAGTTCCGAAGTTGCCAAAGTTCTGAAGTGCCGAACAGAAGTGCAGAAGTCCCAAAGTTCCGAATTGCCGAAGTCCCGAATTTCGGAATGCCGAACCAAACCGAAAATGTTCCCCATGCATATCCCTATTTGAATGTAAGTATGCATTTATGTATAATGTTGGATTTCGAATGCAGAGGTGCATTGATATTTAATTTTGTTGTAAATACAGAAGTGTGTTTATATGTAGTGTTGAAGTTTGAATGCAGGGGTGTATTTGTGTGTAGTGTTGGCGTTTGAATGTTGAGATGTATACAAATATACACATACCCTGCACTGGAACACCGGCAGATACACAGATATACACTCTGACACACCTGCAGATACAGACACACAGACTGACGCAGATACAGACACACCAATACACATACAAATAAGCAGATACACAACCTGACACACATGCAGATACACAGACACACAGATATACACGCTGAAAACATACACAGATACACACAATGTCAGCATACATATACACACACATACAGATACACAGACACATATACTGCTAGACATACTGTCACACAGACACATACACTATCAGGGAAAATACCTGAATAATATACTTCAAGGTTTCCAGATTAGAGAATATCGAGCACTCAGGAAATCAGACACACAGACACAGGTTGTCAGTGTAAGCTGATTTCTACAGTTTAATGGGAGAGCAAAGGTTTTTATGCAAAAAACAGAACAGAGTATACATAATTAATAACTCATGATCGAAAGCATAACAGCTAGCGTATTATTCTTATCAATGAGCATGGGGGCGTTGCGGTAAGAGTTTTCTTAAAGGACCACTCTAGGCACCCAGACCACTTCAGCGTAATGAAGTGGTCTGGGTGCCAGGTCCCTCTAGGATTAACCCTTTTTTTTTAATAAACATAGCAGTTTCAGAGAAACTGCTATGTTTATAAATGGGTTAATCCAGCCTCCAAATCAGTGAGAATCACGCAAGCGCCTCTAGCGGCTGTCAATGAGACAGCCACTAGAGGCACTTGCGTGATTCTCACTGTGAAAATCACAGTGAGAACAAGCAAGCGTCCATAGGAAAGCATTGATAATGCTTTCCTATGCGACCGGCTGAATGCGCGCGCAGCGCATTCAGCCCAGGAGGAGGATCGGAGGCGGAGAGGAGGAGGAGAGCTCCCCGCCCGGCCCTGGAAAAAAGGTAAGTTTAACCCCTTTCCTTGCCATCCAGCCCGGCGGGAGGGGGACCCTGAGGGTGGGGACACCCTCAGGGCACTATAGTGCCAGGAAAACGAGTATGTTTTCCTGGCACTATAGTGGTCCTTTAAACACAAGACACTTGGTACATAACAATTCCAAGAAAAGTATGTTAAAAGTACATTCCATTAATAATGAATAGCAGTTTAGCTAAAAGTTCTAAAACTATACACAGTGATCATAATAAATATGTATAATCAAGTAAGTAGTCCTTCACAAAACTGACAGACATACTGACATACACATACACTGGCAGACATAATAACACAGAAAGACAAACACTTACACTGACAGACATACTGACATTCACATGCACTAACAGACATACTAACACAGACAGACACATACACTGGCAACCATAGTGACAAATACAGACACATACACTGACAGACATACTGACACAGACAGACACATACACTGGCAGACATAGTGACACACACAGACACAGACATACACATACACTGACAGACATACTGACCCACACACAGACACTGACAGACATACTGACACACACAGACATACTGACAGACATACTGACACACACATAAACATACACTGACAAACATACTGCAATGCACACAGACACACAGACACATACACTGCAGACATAGTGACACACATAGACACAGACTCATACACTGACAGTCATACTGACACAGACATACACATACACAGGCAGACATAGTGACACACACAGACACAGACAGACGCATTCACTGTCAGACATAGTGAGACACACACACAGACACATACACTGACCGACATACTGACCCACACACAGACACTGACAGACATACTGACACACACAGACATACTGACACACACACTGACAGACATACTGACATACACATAAACATACACTGACAAACAATCTGCAATGCACACAGACACACAGACACATATACTGACAGACATACTGACCCTCACCCAGACACTGACAGACATACTGACACACGCAGACACATACACTGACAGACATACTGACACAAACACTGACAGACATACTGACACACAGACATACACTGGGGTTGGCTTTCTTGGCCCAGCCCCCCTCCTCCATGCCTCCTCCATTTCTCCTGCACAGATCTTCTTCTCCTTTGTGGGAGACTGACAGACATACTGACACACACATAAACATACACTGACAGACATACTGACATGCACACAGACACATACACTGACAGACATACTGACACACACACTGACAGACATACTGACACACAGACATACACTGGGGTTGGCTTTCTTGGCCCAGCCCCCCTCCTCCCTGCCTCCTCCATTTCTCCTGCACAGATCTTCTTCTCCTTTGTGGGAGGAAGTGACTCGTGGCCAAAAAGCAAGGGGTCACAGCGAGTGACTGGGTCCCTGCTTACAAATGCCCACCAGGTTGCCCTTAGTGCATTGGCCACCCGGTGGGCCTCCTAAGTGTGCGGGTGCCTGGCTGCATCGGAGGGACCATGGGGAAGATAAATTTAAAATGGAGGGCAGTGGGGCCCATGGGGCAGCTGCTCTGGGGTCCCCCAAGAGTAACTGGGCCCAGGGCAGCTGCCCCATTTGCCCCAAATTATAGACAGCCCTGTCCACGTTCTACATGGAGACACGGAACATTCCTTATAGAGATATATTGATTTAATGCATCTCTATAAGGGGATGCTGATTGGCTAGCCGCAGTGTTTTGACACACTTGTGCAAATGCCTCCCAATGCTTTCCTATGGGAATGCATTGAATTGACTGAGATTGTCAAGCATGATGATCTCAGCCAAGGACGGATGATCTTTATACTTAATCTGCTTCACTAAGCTAAAATTGTTTCATGCCTATAGTGTCCCTTTAAGTCAACTGAGGTTGAACTATTACAGTCATTACACTAAGCTAGAAAAAGAACTATTAGAACATTCTCAGGTACAAAATAACATAGTATCCACCGATATCGATCCATAACTGTACTGTATTTATTTATTTGTTTAAATCCTCCTTTTCACCTGTGCATGTTGGTTTTATACCAGCAAATACACGTTTGGTAATTGGATTGATACTGAGTATTAGAGATGTCGCGAACAGTCCGTGAACTTCTCGCGAACGGTTCACCACGGTTCGCCACGAGCTGTTCGCGGCGAACTCCGGTCAGCTGACACGTCCCGGCCAATCTCCAGCAGACCCTCCCTCCCAAACCCTCCTACTTCCTGGACAGCATCCATGTTGAAACATGGACCCTCCCTCCAAGACCCTCCTACTTCCTGAAACATGGATGCTGTCCAGGAAGTAGGAGGGTCTGGGAGGGAGGGTCTGCTGGAGATTGGCTGGGACGTGTCAGCTGACCGGAGTTCGCCGCGAACAGCTCGTGGCGAACCGTGGCGAACCGTTCGCGAGAAGTTCGCGGACAGTTCGCGACATCTCTACTGAGTATGTTTCATCTGTATCTTAGCAAATCATACCCTGCCAAACGTATTTAGTTTATATGTATTTTGTTTTATTCCGCAGTGAGAGGCACTCATATACATTTCATGTGTGGAGCAAGTTTCTTAAAATAAATGAGAACATGAATAAAATGTTCCTTTAAGGCCTTGACATTCTCAAAAAATCATAAATAAATTGTAGAACTACGGAGGAAATTAGAATGTAATCTAGATATTGAAAGAGGAGGGACAGACAGAACAACGAGGGGGAATAAATGAATAGATTTGCATAGAGAACGAGGTGCCATAGATCATTCAGTAGAGGGTAACATTAATTACAGAAATGATCAGGGTATGAATGAGAGTTTAATCTGTTCGATTAAAGAAGAAGGTCACAGCTGTAGGACCATATTGTTATCGGTCACACAATCACGCCGTTTAATAAATCGTGATGCCGATCCAGCAAACACCTCAGATAAAATTCACTGAAAGGTTCCTGACGTTTAGTGTTTAATGTGGTTTTAAGTATAGCCTGTGAAAGGAGTCAATGCAAATGGTTCAATTATAAATGAAATGTACGATAATATAACCCTATATCACTGTGATAACTTATTTACCATCTCTCCTTCCACATCTGCATCTAATTCATTTTAAAATAATTATGGTAATATTTTCCCTTTCATAATTAAACATAATGAACATTTAACAAATCAAATTAAACCTCCATTTAATTCATTCCAGTGACACCAGCCATGTTTTTTTTAATCAGAAATAGCGAATAAAATAGAAAAAGCAGATGCCGGGCTTTTAAATACACTTTATCATCGGAATAGGATGCATTGGTAGGACGTATAAAATGAACGCTGTGTGTGTTTTTCACGAAATCAGTCAGGCTTTTCAAAAATGAAGCAAAGGGATCGTGTCTCTACGTGCTGCTGCTGTAAATAAGTATTTAGGAGACATTTGTTAACACGATGTTTGTCTAAAGAATTAAATAACGTTCGTAAAACAAGTTTCCAAGGATTTTTTAAAATTCTGTTTTTAACTGGACTTTGCAAATCAAATTTGGCAGAAGCAGAAAATGTTCATATATAACAGTTACAAAATCCCCATAAATCTAATTTTTTATTCCATGATTCATTTATTTCTTGGGGGAGATGGGTTACGTACTCCTTTGAGATAATATAGTGGCTACCGGCCCTTTAAATCCTTTTGCTCCTAAGCCTTGGACTGTAGGCCCCTTTAGTTGGATTTGTGATCATCCCATTTTCCTTGTATTCAGGTTCTCTTGGTAGGTGGGGTGAGGCAATGCTCAATAGCTCCTTGGAGAATTATTTTCTGAGAAGCAATCCAAGGATTGGGGTTATAGCATCACACTGGAAGGTCAAACCTCCCCTAATTTAATTCTGCAGCCGTAATAGTAGGCCATGGGTGGTAGCAGCAGATATTCTACATATTTTCTGAATAGTAAAGAGCTATTCAAGGAGGGGAAGGTAGAGACTGGGAAAATGAAATATGTATTTAGAATCACTCATTAAATATACACTAGAATTCACACACAATGCACACAATCTAGCTACATTCACCTGCATGGACACACCAAATTCCAAGTTGAAAAATAATACGATACTGTCTGTTCTCAGAATTGTGTTTTGCTTAATCCCAGTTTGCTTTAAGTGTTTTTCTTACAAACACATTTGCTCTGTGATGATTTAACTTTTTTTTAGAGGGGGTGAGTAAGAATCTGCCCAAATACTAGATGTACCTAGATATGTCAGCACAATAAACACTTAGAGACTCCAAAACTAACCCACTTTGTAGAAGTGGTCCTGAAAATGTAAAGTTTCATAAAGATCTTTTTGGTCAGTGTAAAATAATCCGGACTTGTTACGCACCATGGTGCGTTGAACAGACGTTTTAACAAATACTCCTGGAAAAGAAGAGGGCGATTATACTCAAGAGGACAAAAGATCCAATGATGGTCATAGCAATACAACGATACTTAAAAAGTGTATGTTATTCTCATACAAAACAACACTCTCTGTAAGACAACACGTTTTATACATCCATGTACAATACAGATAACGTGACAATTTGGAAGTAGAAAAATATCTAACCACATTCAGTCAAATGTGTGAATAAGATGTGTTTCCATGAGAGGAGCTTTAATTTAAATTTAAATGTTTTTGATTGTTTTAATATTTTACCAATATATATATATATTTTGTTATAAAATATATTGGTGATAAAACACTAAAGTGGGATTAAAAAAACATATTCTGAAAAAAGATTGACTGATTGAAGATTAATGAAAGAAATAGTCACTGAGTGTTGTTTATCGAAGTACTAATCTACACAAGGTTTGGTCTTAATTTTCTGGCACTTTTGGTTTGTTCAATTTGACTGAAACTTTATTTTTACCATCAGCTGAATTCAGGCCCGATTGGCCATCAGGCATACCGGGCAAATGGCAGGTGGGCCGCGATGGCCATGGGCCGAGGCCGGCAGGGGAGATCCCAGGATCTCCCCAGCTGGTCCATGCAGATCCGGCACTAACCGAGCGCTGGCACTGCTGTGTGCCTTCATGGGCCGGTGGGGAAAGATCTCCCTCACTGGCCCACAGGCACTAACAAGCGGCTGCTGGCTGGGGAGGGAGAGAGACAGGAGAAGACCCAGGGAGCTCTGGCTTGCAGCTCCGCTGGGTTCCTCTTGCGAGATGGGATCGTTGCCCCAGGGCCATGGCAACTCTCCGATCTTGCGAGAGTGAACTCTATACCCGCAGGCTGGAGTTCACTTTTACCAGGGAAGGCAGGACAGTCCCCCCTCCCAGTCAAAAGGTAAGAAAGGAGGGGGGACATAATGTTTGCTTTGTTATTTAATTAAAAAATAAATAAATACATATATACAGGCATTAATCTGCCTCCCCCCAACACACAATCCCTCCAAATATATACACATACAGCAGCCCCACACTCACAACCTCCCTTCACACATACACACAGCACCACTGACACACACACAGAATACTTCCAAACATATATATATATATATATATATATATATATATGTACATATTTATAATAAAGCACTGCTCACACACATACTGAATCCATAAACACATTACATTGTAGACACACACTAGATCCCTTACCCAACTCTGGATCATCTACACACATACACACACTAGATCCCTGTATACACTCTGAATCCTCTACACACACATACTAGCCCTCCTATAAACACTCTGGGTCCTTCAAACACACACTAGACCCCTACACACACACACACACTACATTCCTGACATACATACTCTGGATCCCCTATGCACATACTAGATTCCTTGTAAGCAAACACAAACTACATTTCATAAATGCATATTCTCTACAACCCCTACACACACTACATCACCTATATACACACACAATCCCTGCATCTCCTATACACACTATGCCCCCTATATACACTCTCTACAACCCCAAGCCACACATACATTACAACACAAACACAACACGACTTAAACCGACCTATTTACACAATACCACACCACAATTAGCTCATACTACACACATGCAATCTTACAAGCAGGCTCCAAACACATGCACAATACTCTTTCCTATCCCTTTTGTCTCTTGGTATCCCATTTATAGCGACACCAGAGACAAGTTGCAAGCAAACACAGCACTAACATGTTATTAAATTTGCTTGCGCTGTGCAGAACAAATACAGGGCCTTTTTCTCATGGTAGAGCTCTTCAGCAGAGCTCTGTGCATGGTCTGTCCTGGAAGAGCATTGAACCAACATGCTCACTTTGAGATGGGGCGTGCTTGTTATTGGGGATGACAAAACACACCCTATCTGGCTCCGTCCCCCTTCTCAGTGGGCCGCTGTGATTAAAAAATGCCCAGGACAAATTTTTTCCCCAGTCCAACCCTGGCTGAATTCTACCTAACAGTGGGCATATGTTGTCCATAAAAAGAGCACATCCTGTGTCTTTGTGCTTGCAATATTTAAAAGAAAAATGTAAAGAAAGAAAAACTGGGATAGATAATCGGAAATACAGAAAAGGACTGAGATGACAAGTAAGGCTACATCCAAGAATCATATCTTCAATCCCTTCTGGAATGTGGGAGCGTCCTCCGTTGATGGAGGTTTAGGAAGAGTTTGTTCCAGAACTTTACACCTTACACAGATATTTTTATTTTCTGGAATCACTGGACCTAATATGCTCTGCTGTTAAGTTCCTTAGATGATGGGAGGGAAATTAATGTCCTATTGTAAAAATGAAGAAAGAAAAGGCAAAACAACAGTTTCAACCAAACAACAGCTTTTCCTTGAATTACTGCAATTTAAAATGCACATTTTTTTTTAAATACCCAAACTTTTTAATCCAGTTCAGTTAGTATACTCAGACAGGGCCGCCACCAGAACTTTTGGGGTCCCTAACTCAGCTCAGGGTCTGGGCCCCCAGGGGCCCGCCTCCAATCCTGCCCACAGGGTCCGCCTCCAAATCCCGCCCACAGGAATACACACAAAAACACACACTGATACAAAAGGACACATATACACACAGATAGATACTAACAGACACACATACTGAAACAGACATACACGCATATAGGCATACATACTGACACACACATACTGAGACATACACATATATACAGACACACAGGCATACATAGTGACAGACACATACTAACATACATACAGACACACATGCATGAGGACATACACATACATACACCGACATACATACACACAGACATACATTCATTCATACAGACATGCATTCATACAGACGCTGACATCCATACACACATACATACATGCATTCATAATGGCATACATTCATACTGGCATATATACAGACATACATACATTCATACATACACACAGACA